GTGATAGGAATAATTTAATAGTAATGTGTAAAAGGTATAATTGGGTTTATTCTGAAATTTTATTCTAATATAATTTCCAATGTGTCAGAGGTATAAATACAGGGGGGAAAATAAATAATATCAATACTAAAGATATGAATGAATTATGTTATAAATGGAAAGTGAGGAAAACTTTTCTACCATGACTCAAAGTCTGGAAGCAATAGAGAGAAGATTGGTAAATTTTACTATAAACATAAGTTCCAACAAAAGACGACACAAAGAATTCTTTAACACTGGTGTATGGAAGAATAACGAAAAATCAAATTAAAAAATGTATCATAAAAGAAAACTAACATTTGCAACTTTTATCGAGACTAAGGGTTAGTAGACCCCAAATACAAAAATCTAAAACTTATCATGAAAGAGACCACAAAGAAAGGTATTCTTAAACAATGGGTCAAAGAAGAACTCATATGGGAACTTAGGAAAGATCTAGAAACAAATGAATACAAAAACACAGCATAGGGAAAGTTATGAGATTCAGCAAAAGAAATAAGAACTGAGAGGGGAATTTATGGCAGTTAACGTTTACTGATAAAAGAAGAAAGATCGCAAAGCAAAACTTTAAACTTAACACTTAAGAAACTAGAGAAGGAAAAGCAAAGCAAGCCAAAGTCAGAAACAGGAAGGAAGTAAAAATAGAACAGAGATAAACAAAACAGAGCATGGAAAAATAACAGAGCAATACCATGGAGCCAAGTTTTAGCTTTTTCAGAAAGTTGACAAAACTGACAAATCTTTACTAGGCTAAGAAAAAAAGAAAATATTCAAATAGCTAAAATTAAAAATAAAAAAAGATACTGCAATTAATGTCACAGAAATAAAAAGATTGTAAGAGACCACTACAAGCAATTAGTGTACATACCAACAAATTACGTAAAGTAGAAGAAATGGATAGCTTCCTAGAAAATATCACCTACTCAACCTGAATCCTGAAGAAATAAGAAACCTGAAAAGACCCAAACTAGTGAAAAGATTGAGGCCATAATCAAAACGCTCACTACAAACAAAAGCCCAAGAGTAGATTACTTCACTGCAGAATTCTACCACTTAAAGAAGTATTAACACCACTCTTTCTTAAATTCTTCCAAAAAATCTAAAGAGAAAGAACAGTTCAAAATATTCTTTGAAGTCCAATACTGCCCCAATACCAAACCAGACAAAGATACAATAAAAAACAGCTGCAGATCAATCTTCCTAATGAGTATTAATGCCAAAGTACTACACAAAATAAGAGAAAATCAAATTCAATGGCACATCAAAAAGATCATAAGGGACAATCAAGCAGAATTTATATCTACAATGCAAAGATGGCTTAACATACAAAAATTAAGCAGTGTATCTCTAATCTTCATAGTTTCCTTCCTTGTAAAAACTCTGGGTTTGGGCACATAGTGTAATAAATATTGCTATTTCCTTATTATTTGGTTATAAAAGTTTGTTTTAATTTTTCATAAACTAAAAATTTGATTAATCACATTAACAAATGAAAGACAAAAGCATGTGATCACTCCAGTGGATGCAGAAAAAACATTTGATGAAAAGAAGCACATTTTCATAAGAAAAATCATCTAAAAATAGAAGGAAACAAAAAACACAATAAAAATCATGCATGAAGAGTCCACAGCTAACATTCTCAATGAAGATTAAAGGCTTTTCCTATAAGATGAATAACAAGACAAAGATACTCTACTCATCTATTGTTGAACATAGTACCCAGAGTTCTAAAAAAAGCCCATAGAATCAAGAAATAAGAAATAAAATCACCTTTATTCACAGATGTCATAACCTTATTTGTACTGAATTCTCAAGACTACATACAAACACACACACAAAATACTAGAACCAATAGATGATTTCAACAAAGTTTCAGGATACAAGATCAACAACCAAAAACAAGGTTCATTTGTAAAAACTGCAATATTAATCTGCAAAAAATTTTAAGATGCTATTTACTATCACATCAAAAAGGCAAATACTTATAAATGAACTTAGCCAAATGGGTGAAAAGCTTATATACTTAAAAATATAAAACTCTGTACAACAAATTGGAGATATAAATAAATGGAAACACATCCCATGTTTGTGAATGGGAAGATTTAATACTGTTAAAATGTTCATACTACCCAAAGTGATTTACATATGTGATGCAATCCCCATCAAACCACTACCAACATATTTTAGAACAAATTAAAAAAATATTAACATTTGTCTGGAATCTTGAGGGACTTTGAGTGGTAGAAGCAATCTAGGAAAAGAATAGTTAAGTACTTTGTATTCCCTGATTTCAAAACATACAACAAAGTAACATTAACAGCAAATGTGTGCTTTTGCAATAGAGATAGACAGGTTCATGGAACAGAATAAAAAGCCCAGAAATACACCTGTGTATATATGACCAAATGATTTTCAATACTGTGTCAAAACTACGCAATAGGTAATGGACAGACTCTTCAACATATGGATTGGGGAAAGTGGAGACCCACTGTGTGATTGCACTGGTGTGGAATCTATAAAAACTGATCTCATAGATGCTGAGAATAGAATAGGTACAGAAGGCTGGAGAGAGTGGAGGGGAGGGAGGGATGGGGAAGACTGATCAGTCAATACTAAGCTGTACTTGGGAACAAATCCTGGTGCCTGCTGCACAGTAGGGTGACTATGGCTAACAGTAGTGTTCTGTACATGTAGAAAAGGCTTTGCCATAAAGGAATGATAGCTGGGTGTAATGATAGTGCAAGCCTGTAATCCCAGCACTCGGGAGGCTGAGGCAGGAGGATCGTTGTGAATGCGAGACCAGCCTTGGCGACAAAGTGAGCTCAATGCCAGCCTGAACTGCATAGCAAGACCCTGTCTCAAAAAGACAAAAATAAATAAATAGAAATAAATTTTAAAAATGATAGGTGCTTAAGGAGATGAGTACCTTTAACCTAAAGGTTCTTATATATCTATATATCTATATCTATATATATATCACATAGTATACCACAGACATGTAAGATTTTTTATGTATAAGCTAAAAATTAATTTGAATCAAAACCCATTCTCTCTCCATACACATGCTATGAATGATAATGATACAGTGATTATATTTTTAAAAAGTTCTTAGTTTTATGTATATACACATTAACAAATTATATAATATTCATTAAACATAATGTATTATATTATATAACGTACATTAAATATAAATATAACTAATGACAATGATGAAATTCTATGATAGTGTTTGCTTTAAATTTTCTGAGCGAGATGAGTAAAACGTCAGCAGACATAAGTTGATAAGAGTGAAAGTTGAGAGCTAGATAGATGGAGTTTACCCATGAATTTTTGTCTACTTTTCATTTGAAATATTACTTTATTAAATACTTTCTCCACAAGGTACAAAGAAGAGAAGATAGAGATTATAAATATTGTTGCAGGGCTGCTGCTATGCAGTATAACAATAGGAAGAATCTTCAAATTTTGTGAGTTCAAAGAAGCTGCAGGCAAAGAAAGGAGGTACATCAAGAAAAAAATTAATGTAGAGTACGATTTACTTACACTTTTCGGGCTGATAGATCAGTTTATAGTATATCATATGAAGAATTATCAGAGCCATCAGTGCAGACACAAAAGGAATAAGTAAAACAAAGGCCCAGGGTCGCGAGTGCTGGATATAAGAAATTCCCAGAAACGCAGCTGTCACAGTTAGGTTCATGAGCCAGTGAAACCTGGTGGATACAGAGAGACAAAACTAAGAATACTACTGAGTTACTCTGAATAACAATACTAATGTTAAAACTTTGATGCAAATGTAAGCTATAAATTGGTGGCCTGTTAGATGCAGTAGGAGCGTACTTTCTTTGTCTAAGTCAAAGGTAGATAAACTTTTTTCCAGTAAGGGCCTGATAGTAAATATTTTAGGCTTTGCAGGCCCAGTGATCTTTACAGAAACTACTTGGCTTTTGTGCAGTGAAGAAGCAAGCACCACACCCTCTCATCTTTGTGGAACTAGAAAGGCTGTATTGTTGGAGTCAAATATTGCAATATATTCCTGTTTTGTAGAGGGAAGTACAGGAAAACACAGAAAGCCCAGGACTACCTGCTTTAACTCAGTGATTAAACCAAATAAATGAATGACATTTGGGTAAAGCTTTCAGTTTGTTTTCCTAACGATTACTATAATAAATATGTATCTACTTGTCTTGGTTACTTTTTTTCTCGTTGCTGGGACAAAATATCTGATGCCCAAAATTAAGGAAGGAAAGGTTTATTTCGCTTACAGTTTGTGGAAGTTTCAGTCCATACTTGGCAGCTTATAAGGCAGACTGGCACACATGGCAAAGAGCTACAGCTCAGGCTGGCAGAACACAGCTAAGCAACAACCACACACCAGGGCAGAATGGGGGAGGAATGCCCCAAGCACTCTTTTCCTCTCCCTTACATATGCAAACTATCCACTCCTGGGCGGGTGCAGCTCTCACACCCATACTCAAACTCTAATAGCCTGCCCCAGGGCCGCAGGAGGCTTTGGGGGGACACACAGACATAAACCATAACACCACTCTAGTAGTCTGTTCTGAAAGTTTGATGGAAATAATCTCTATCTCTCAAACTTTAATTGGGTCTACATCTGTCACTAAAGTCCTATTACAAAGGAGGGGTCTTAGCATGAAGGTAAAAAAGAAATTATTGAGGTACAATTAAATGCAATAAAAGTTACTCATTTAATTATATAGTGTGCAAACATCAATAGGTTTATGTTTTCATACACTTACATTATCACTGAAGTTTAAATGTCTTCCTTGATTGGATCACTACTATCTGAGATAATGTCTCCTTGATTAACTCAAAAGGAACTGATTAAAGACCTTAATGACCCAGGGAAAACCCTTTCACTTTTGCCAGAGAACATAATCAGAAGAGTGATGTTCATTATCGTTGTCACAGGTTACATGTTATACTCCTGCTTAGAAGGATGGGTCTATGTAAACGGATGGTCTACCAGGGGCCACCCTAGGGCAAATCTACCACATCTTCTAGCTAATTTCTCTCCTGCCTCCCTGCCTCCCTGCCTATCTCTTTTCCCTCTCTCCTTTCTCTCCCCCGTCCCTTTGTTTCTCTGTTCTCCTTTTCTCCCTCTAGGTTAAAGAAGTAAAGTCAACTGGTAAAGTCAGCTATGTGAAAGAGATAGTGAAGATTTGAAAAGAAAGGAAAGGTTTAGAAATCATCATTGAAAGGAGGATAGAGTATTATTTAAATGTTAAAAATGTATTACAGTAAAAGACACATCACTATTAATCTGCCTCAAAATACTGACCCTTACTTCAAACATGCTTATCCCATGGTGTTGCCAATCTCTGAAGCAGTTCTGGAAGTCCTCTTTCATGAATGTCTTTAGTTGTGCTGTCACGGCTGATTTAATGTCCTGAATTAATTTAAAGCATTCATCCTTTCATAGTCATTTCAACTTTGGGGAAGAGCCGGTAGTGACATGATGCTACCACAGGTGAATTAGGTGGATGAGGATCCACTGTATTGAGCCTGCCTTTCCACTGGGTAGCACGTGGCCACAGTCTTCACCATATTTCTAAAGATACCCCATAAAGTCATGAAAGAGGACTTTCACAACTGTTTCAGAAAGTGCCAGATGATAGGATAAGTGTGTTCAAGGCAGAGTATCTTGAGGGTGATTAATGGTAATGTCTTTTAGTTCAATGTTTTTTTTTTTTTAATTCTCTGTGTATGTTAATCACATCTTGTGTACTTGTTAGACAACAGAAATGGACCACTTCAACGGTCATGAACTTAATGTGATCACAGTCCATGTGATTTTGCATTTTTTCCAGACTTGTTTGACTGTGGGAGTACAATAATTGAATAGGTGAAGACTTGAATTTTAATCAAGATTATTTTCTCTGTCATACACAACGTGGTAATAGTCATACCACAGTGATATATGTATATCTATGCTTATAGCAGCACACTTTGGGATAGTTAAATCTTGGAAATAGCCCAAATGCCCACTGTCCGGTGAATGGATAAAGAAGATGTAGTTTTTTTTATACAATGGAGTACTATTCAGCCATAAAAACGGGTAAATTTGAGACATTTAAAGGTAAATGGATGAACCTTGAGACCATTCTCTTAAGTGAAATAAATCAAACACACATGTGTAAATATCTCATTGTTTTTCTGGTATGAAAAACTGAAAGTGTAAATAAGGACCAGAATGTACACTAGATATTACAAAATAGGAAGGAAATGCTCAATTTGGAAGGGGAACAAGGGAGCAGGGAAGGGGCAGGGAAGGGAAACAAAAAAATGTGAAAAGAAGGAAAAATGGAAACAAAGCTTTTGTAAGTAAGGAGGGGAAGAGAGGTTCAAGGGAGGTTAAGGGAATGGGAAATAAAAGAGGAACTGAGATAAGTCATGTACAGGTACAAAGTCCTTATGATAAAGTGATCATTATGTATATTTAAAATGTACCAATAAACTTAATTAATAAATAAAAGTTATGGAAATAGATGGTTCGTTAATTGAGGACTAACCTCACCTTTTACTGCTTTATGTGGCTTGGTGGTTATGGGAGGGGCTCAGCCTCCTGCAGTGCACCGCGCCACTGCATGGCAGATGCCTCACAAGGCTGCCTATTTCGCTAGCAGAAGATGAAGATCAGCTCTTCCTTTGGCGGATAAACACCGCCTCAGCTGGAATCAGCATCCCTGTGTGCTCGTGCTGCTGCTGTGTGTGTAAAATGTTAGATTCTATCTTTGGTAAATGGGAAGGAGATCAAGAGCTGGAGGTGGGAGAAGGGGAAGGAGATGTCAAAAGAACCAAGATGTGTCATGCACCTGTGCCAGCTCCCCATGAATATAATCATTATACACTGCAAAGATGTCTAATGAAAAATATAAAATAAAATATTAGAGTCTGCTCATCTTTGCTAAAACTATGGGGCCAGTGGAGGAGGATGGAAAGAGTGGGCATTTTTTCACAGCATTTGACAGGAGTAGGGCGGGTATTGTCAAGAGTCATTTCTGCAATTGTAGGCTACCTTAGCCGAGAACTTGGGCCAAGGGAACAGGCTTTTTCTTGTCACTATAAATTAGACTGCATTTCAAAGATTTTTTGTGTGTGTGTGAAGTGAATTGTCTATATTTGCATCTTTTTATCCAACTTCTTTCATTTAACATAATTATTTTGAGATCCATCTATTTTGGAGCTATCAGTAACATTCCCTCATATTGCCAAGTACTATTCCATTGTAAATATACTACTATTTATTTATCCATTGATAACATTTTTCTTCAGCTCATGGCCATCACAAATAATGCCAGTATAAACATTCAGATTTTGTATAGATATTGTATGCATTTTTCTTGGGTAAAACTCTAGGACTGAAATGGCTGGGTAATATGATAGATACACATTTAAAATTTTAGCAAGTTTCCAAGTACTTTTCAAGTAGCTGTGAAATTATACATTATTTCCATATATGTATTAGAGTTCTAATCCCCCTACATCTTGGTCAATACTTGATATGGAAGCTATGTATTAGTACTACATTGTGGTTGTATTTTGCAATTTCCTAATGACCAGTGATGTTCAGTATTTTTTCTTGGGCTTATTTCCATCTGCGTATTTTCTTTGGTGAAGTTTCTGTTTAAACCTTTTGCTCATTAAAAATTTTGTTTCATCATTGAGCTTTAAGGGTTCTTTATATACTGGATATAAAACCTCTGTCAGTCATTAGATTTGCAAATATTTCCTTCCAATCAGGACCTTGTCTTTCCATTATTTTATGAGCATCTTTTGGGAAGAGATTCTTAATTTTGATGAAATAGAATTATGACATATTTTTCCTTCATGGATCATGCTTTTAAGCCTGTTTCTAGGAAATTTTTGATGCAATTTCCATGAGCTGCCATGCAAGCTCACAAAAGTTTTCATCTTATTTTAAGAGACAAAATCTGAGACTTGGGAAGTGGAAGTGATTATACAAGTCTCACAACTGTGCTGCAGAACCATGAGCAGAAGCCACTGTCCAGATGCAGCCTCTAAGGAGCTGAACTGTCGAATTGATTGGCTTGGGGTCCACCTAAGGAATTAGTAGCACACTTCTGGGTCTGTCTAGGTAGGTCATGGAGGCATGACCTTTGGGTCTATATATGGTCCCTGACCTCTTCCTCTCTGGCACCGCTCCCCTGTTCTGCTTCCCAGCCACCATGAAGCAGGTAGTGTTGCTCCACCATGCCCTTCCACAGTTATCATGCTGCCTTGGAGGCAGCTGGCTCTGGACTGATACCTCTGAAACCTTATGTAAAATTAAACCTCTTCTTTAAGTTTTATGTGTTGGTTACTTTGTACCAGCAATTTGAAAGTTGACTAACACAAAGCTAACGAGGCTGGCTGTCTGTTTTGTGTATCTTTCCTGATCTTTGCTGTTATCAAATTTAAGATAATATTATTATCAGTCTATCTTTGGACATTTGAAATTATCTTTTGCTCATGCTTCTCATATTTTATATGTCATTAATTATATATAATTATATATATGTATAAACCACTGTACCATACACCACTGTACCATTAATTATATATATATTTTCCTTCCCCTGAAGTGGTAGCCAAAAAACAGGAATTGGAGTCACAACTTTGTAATCATATAAACTGGGACCTTACACTCTTTGAATTCAGGATGACGTTAAAATGGTGATGACCCTTTAAA